GGCAGGGCAAAGGCGGCCCCAGGGCCGCTTGTGCCCTGCCCCCCAGTTCTTAGATCCCCCCTGGGTTTCTGATCACTGTCAATGGCAGGGGGCTTCTTCCTGCTTTCCCTTCGCCTCCCTGTATTGTGCCTACATATGCAAATTAACTGCCATCTTTGTTGGCAGTTAACTGCCATCTGAGTTGGCAGTTAATTTGCATATAGCCCTGATTAGCCAATGAAAAGGGTAGCGTCGTACGCCAATTACCATGTTTCTCTTTTATTAGTGTAGACTAGAGGCCCGGTGCATGAAATTCATGCACTCAGTGGGGGTGGGAGGGCGGTCCCTCAACATGGCCTGTGCCCTCGTGCAGTCCAGGAGCCGTTGGGGCATGTCCGTCTGACAGCTAAGGCCTGCTCCCCCACGGCTAAGCCGACAGTCGGACACCCTTAGTGCTGCCATGGAGGCAGGAGAGCTGAGAGCCCGTCTTCTCGCTGAGTGGCACTCCCCCTGTGGGAGCGCACTGACCACCAGGGGGCAGCTCCTGCATTGAGCATCTGCCCCCTGGTGGTCAGTGTGTGTCAGAGCGAGCAGTCATTCCACCGTTCCGTCAATTTGTGTGTTAGCCTTTTATTATATAGGATATGAAAAGTATATATATCCCTCTGCTCTACAGCTTGGCCAGCTTCTTGTTTGAACAGAAGTTGCCAAGAGTAAAGTGGATGAGGTAATAAGAATAGCAGCTGTTTATTGAGTGATTGCTTACCACCAAGCGCTTTGCATTCACTCAGTTATTCCTCACAACTGTGCCTGGGACCCCTTTCCTCCCATCTCCCTCCTGGCATGGACGTCTGCTTATTGAGTTTCAGCTCAAATGCCACCTTCCCTGGACTCCCACCTCTACTTGCTCTCTACCACTGCCCTTCAGTTACTCTCTACAACACTTTCAGTTCCTCCATTGTACTTGCCTCATTTATTCCTTTAAAGAAATTATCTCATGTATTTATTTGCTCGGTTATTGTCTGTCTGCCCCTGCCTGTCTTATTCACTACTGCAGCTTCAGCATCTAATTCCTGTCTTCCACATAGTACGCATTAAATTAAAAATACCAGGTCTTTGCCTGATGGTGGCTCAGTGGTCAAGCATCAACCTATGAGCCAGGAGGTCATAGTTTGATTCCCAGTCAGGGCACATGCCCGGGTTGCGGACTTGATCCCTGTGCAGGAAGCAGCCAAATCAATGATTCTCTCTCATTATTGATGTTTCTCTCTCTTTCTCTCTCCCTCTCTGCAATTAATTAAAAAATATTAAAAAACAAAACAAAACACCAGGTCTTCTTGAATCACTATGCTGTTCACCTGAAACTAATATTATATTATACATCGACTATACTTTAAAAATAAATAAAGAAGTTCTAAGTTATTAAGATTTTAAAATAATAAAGTGAGTAGTTTGCATAGAAAAAAAATTACCAGGTCTTATATGCCCATTTTACATATTAAGATATTGACTTTCACTAGGTTATGCTATTAATAAATCAGGAAGTTCCAGACCTGGATGAACCTAATATTTATTCTCTAAACCTCAGTACAGTACTACCTTTAGCTGAGTAGACGGTGTGTCTTTTTCTGATTCATGACTTTCAAGAAAAGGAGTTTGAATTGGGATAATGTTAAGATTTTCTAACATGCTGAAACCAGTTTGGCTCAGTGGATGGAGCATCGGCCTGCGGACTGAGAGGTCCCTGGTTCGATTCCGGTCGGGGGCATGTGCCTGGGTTGCGGGCACATCCCCAGTGGGGGGTGTGCAGGAGGCAGCTGATCAATGTTTCTCTCTCATCGATGTTTCTGACTCTCTATCTCTCTCCCTTCCTCTCTGTAAAAAATCAATAAAATATATTTTTTTTAAAAAAGATTTTCTA